CCAGACAAGCCTGGTTTGGACACTTTATGGGCAGAAGAAACATTTCTATTAAAGAAAGAATTATACTTTTCTGTCTTTTTATGCCTTTAATACTAACTTGCATTTTTATTAAAATTAATTAGTCAATTATTTTTTATATTTTATTGTAATGTAGAGACAAGGCTTTTAGTGACAATCATGTATTGCCTTACAATTATATGTAAAAAAAAAAACACTGCCCTAGGACTTGAGGTCCACCCCCACTTGAAACATGTTCAAATGGATCGGTTATCAAATACAAAGGCACACTTTTTTTAAATAGTAACCATTGTCCATTTCATTTCTATTTGGGTAGTAGAACAACCAGCACAGAAGAACTTGCAGGTACAGGGCAGACAGTCCACAGTCGGACACGTTATTGATGTTAGTGAGATTTAAACTAAAGGGCTATCACTATGGGCAGCAACGCTTTAAATATTGACAAATACATCCAGCAAAACACCAAAAAGAAAACTGGTACTGGCCTGCTGGGTGTATAATTCCTGGCCTGACTTATTGTCCTAGTCCGGCCCTGCCAATGGCACATGTATTTGCGTACTAGTTCATGAGTGTAGCATTTTTAATGGTAGTGTAAATTGCAAACAAGTGAATATGTCTGTGTCTGAAAAAGAGAACCGTGTGCAGTGGGTTGCAAAAAAATCCATGTGTAATTGAAAATTGGGTGCAGAGCTGAAAATGTGTTTAGAGTTTTGGAGACTTGAGCTGAGATTTTGCATTTTGAGTGTCGGTTTAATGTCGGTGCTTTATGTGTCGTTAAAGTGTATTAGCACTGAAAAAAGCTATAATATATATGTTTTATAGATGCTTTCAAAACGATTTATTAAACAATCAAACATCATCATAATGAGTTATTGTTCATATTAATAATTCCCAAGGGATCAATAAGAGAGTCAAAACCACTATTCAAATTGCAGAAGTTTCATTTTATTAATAATCTTCCAAAAAAGTTTACATCCCAGTATACAATGGAAAAGAGCACATTTTGAGCTATAAATAATAAACCTGACAAGAATAATAAAATCGACGGTTAATTCTTGCTCAGTGTTTCTAAGATTTATGTGGGGTGGACAGCAGTGTCAGGGACTGATCAGCGTCTCCTGCGGCGAAGTGGTTCTGACGTGGTCCCAGGCACACAGTCTGCTTTTCTGCAGCTGCACGTATCCACTGCAGTGTAGCTGTGGTTCACCTTTGAGCCATCTGCACAAGTCAGCTCCACACTCTTCTTACTGACGCTGGCCTCTTGGCAACACTCACACTGGTGCATCATCTTGTTAGCTGCCGCAGAATATCTACACACAAACAGACAACAGTTTTTACCCTCTGCATCGAAAATAACAGCTCCTTCAACGGCCAGTGACTTGATCAGAAAATATATAAATAATCTAATACGGTTGCCCTGTCTTAATATTAGGTACTTGTTGTAAGTCCTCATTATTGTTATTTGTATTGTGCTGACATGGTGTTTATTTCTATTTACACTTTTTCTGACAGGAAAATTCTACCTTTGGCCTTCACAACACGTTAATCTAGCAAAAAGTGACAAACCTTTCGAACCAGGGCCAGATTATTCATGTTGAATGAGGCCTTTCCGGTGCCACCATAACTGGGCCCTTTGACAGGCGAGTTCACAGTGAATTAGGAAAGTATGAGTGCAGTGAGGCACTGCTGACAGTCAACCTTCACAAAAAACTGATATAATTCACTTTCTTGTCACACCAGAAAGAGCTGCCCTTCAGATTTTTATGAAACTAGGTGGATTCTCCGATTAAGTGAACATTCAAATTAGGTGCTAAAAATACTCACATGGACGAGCTTCCACAGTGTCCAGCGCAGGATGTAATGTTGAGCGGCTGCGCACTCTTGCAGCCGCTCACTTCCATGACTGTTAGCTTACTCTTCATCTCACAGACGCTCTTCCGCTTGCCTGGAACACACAGCAACTGTTAGGCTCTAACAATGGCACATGATTCCCAGATATTTCCTCTGATGCTTCCCATTTAAAACCAAATGATCATTTTGGATTTAGTAGACATTATTAAAATACTTTGACTCCACTAACTTACAGGTTTTGCAGCATCCAGTAGTGTCAGTAGTCTCAGTGCCCTGCATTAAAAAAAAGACATGTCATGTTTGGGGTTGGACAGTTGGGTGGTTGAAGCGGGGTTAATGGTAAGATAAACTTACAGGTTCACAGTCCAAGGGGTTAAAGGGAGAACAGGTTGTCTTGGTCTCCTTGGTAACAAGATGTCCATTCATCTTCTCACAGGTATATTTCACACACTTGTCATTCGTGGGAATAAAGGTGTTGTTGACCTGTACCAATGCCATGAGCAGAAACTCAGTCAGATATTAAAAAAGGGTGGTTCATTTAGCCTCATCCACAAACACTACTTAATCGCTACTGTAGAAGAAAAAGACCACCAATAGTTTTCACACTTGTGAAAAATATATTTAAGTTAAGTATTATTTTTTACTTTGAAATATACAAAATCATGTTTACTGTTAATATCAACTATCTAATTCAGGTTGTACACGTCTGCTACGAGTGCCATTCATTTTCTCATACTCCTGGTCAGCAAAAATGTGAAGAAACACTCTCACAGCTGTGGGACCGACCTCAAGGATATGTGTTGTGTTGTCCTGTGTGGTGAAAATGCAGCTTTTCTGAACACATTTCCCGCAGCACTTTCGATGTACGGTCTGATATTCATAACCCTGGAAAAAGAGACAAAGAGAGTGAGTCCTTTGGCCTTGTAAGACAAGGATACAATGTGTGTGAAGGTGTGGATGTTCACTTATGTGTCCATGTGCAGCTACGATTTGTGATTAGCATTTCAAATGAATAGAGCATATATGGAAGGGAACTTGATATGAAAGCTGGAAAACATAACTGGGATTTTCTGTTTAATAGATATTCATCACTTTATCAATGGACACTAGATGAATAAATAAAAAAGTGATACAATTGAGTTTGTCTGTGTTTGTAAGTATATCTTACTTTGGAGCATTTTGTGTTGCACACAACAGGTCTGCAGTTAATGATGTTCAACCTAGTGATGGGATCCATTTTGGGGCCACAGAAACACTCCTGGCAGGGTTTTGGTGTGAAAGGTCCCGATGTTCCTGATGGTGCTGTTCTTGTTCCTGAAGGTTGTCCTGCTCCTGATGGTGCTGTTGTTGTTCCTGAAGGTTGTCCTGCTCCTGATGGAGATGTTGTTGTTCCTGAAGGTTGTCCTGCTCCTGATGGGGAGGTTGTTGTTCCTGAAGGTTGTCCTGCTCCTGATGGAGATGTTGTTGTTCCTGAAGGTTGTCCTGCTCCTGATGGAGATGTTGTTGTTCCTGAAGGTTGTCCTGCTCCTGATGGTGCTGTTGTTGTTCCTGAAGGTTGTCCTGCTCCTGATGGAGATGTTGTTGTTCCTGAAGGTTGTCCTGCTCCTGATGGTGCTGTTGTTGTTCCTGAAGGTTGTCCTGCTCCTGATGGAGATGTTGTGGTTCCTGAAGGTTGTCCTGCTCCTGATGGAGATGTTGTTGTTCCTGAAGGTTGTCCTGCTCCTGATGGAGATGTTGTTGTTCCTGAAGGTTGTCCTGCTCCTGATGGAGATGTTGTTGTTCCTGAAGGTTGTCCTGCTCCTGATGGTGCTGTTGTTCCAGGTGGTTGTTCTGTTGTTGTTGTTGTTGTTGTTGTTGGTGGTGTTGATGGCGGTTCTAATGGTGGTTCTGGTGTTGTTTCTGTTGGTATTTTGTCACTAGGCTGTAGAATACACATATATTTAGAGTACAAATTGATTAGTTACTCTCAAACATCTGTTCATTATTCTATGGAAGATACCCTGCATGTGCTTATTTCAGGATTCATGGACTAAGTACTGATCCATTGTTGCCTTTCTGAACTGGTCTGTGTTATGTACATTCTGACTTGTAAAAAGAAACATAGGTTAACATAAGTAATAAAGATGGACAGGCACATTTAGGTGATTCTAATACTGCTTCATAATATTTTAATGGAGTCAAAAGTGAAAACAAGTGTTTCTGGTTACTGGCAGCACGTCATACCTACTGCGCCTCTTGTATTTATGTAATTTCTCACAAAGAGCTGATGAAATCAGTCTAACAGGCTGTGGGTTAATACGGCTAATGGAAATGTTTCTGCTATTTCAGGCAATCACACAATGATGTAGTAGCTATATTGGTATATGGGGTTTGGACTTACCTTGTACTCATTCATGTCATAGACACATACACCTTTAGGAACTGCAAAAACAAAGAGCTATGAGTTAGCTAGGCTGTGTACCTTTTTACTGAATGTATATTGATGTTTTATTTATGTTACTGGGTAACTGTCAATTTTGTAAAAATCCCTAAATGTGAACATTATTTCTTTCAGATGTACTTTTTAAGCAATATATTGTGAACAAATATTAAAATGTGTAAATTAATGTTATTTCATTTCAACATTGAATAGCCGGATTGAAGCCTGGACAGCATTTGTCTGCCTTCAGAGAATCGAAAAATGCATCTAAAAATCAGATAAAGAAAATATTATGAACTCTTTAAAAGTGTTTGGACCGCAAATTATTTCAGGACAATAAAAGTACATAGAAGGCTTTGACTGTTTTAGGATTGCATTCAAGTTTTGAACTAACATTTAAAGGCAATCTTACATACATCAACATCCACAGCAGAGCTCATTGCTGTTTTAGTTTTGTACTTTTGTTAGCAGATAATCCTACAATGATAAAGTAAAGTCACATACCACACTCGTAGGACTGGCAGCAGGTGCCGCTGGTAACGTTGCGTTGGAAGCCCACTGGGCAGGTGATTGGTCGTGGACACAGGTTTACATTGCACTCTGTATGCCACAAAGGGATGAGATGATTATATATGGATGTGGAAATCAGTTTCAATTGACCTTTTATAACAATAACTTAAAGAACCAGCAGTCCTGCACGTTTCAGTGGGAGACTGTTGAGAGAAAGACACTAAATCAATTCAACACACTCACACCTGATGGCTGTGTGATGTGCTCAACAGCAGCTCTATTAAACGTCTTACTCATAACCTTGAGCAACAAGAGGAGAATCAATATTGTGATGGAGGAGATATCCCATATTATTTAACCATGTAAGAAAAAACAAAACCACCGCTTGATGGGAAGAAAACATATCCTTCTATCTCAAACACCCACATTTGCTGCGAAAAGAAGCCTGCCTTAATGTTAATGATATATCATTAGCAAACAACACTGGTGTGGTTCTTAAGGGATTCTTTTTCACAATCTTAAAGCCTATGCTATGTGTGATGTATGTATGTGGATACATTTAATGGATTTTTTCCCTAAATGCATTTTTTGTATACATCAATAAATATAAAATGTATATAGCATTAGGGGAAGCAAAAAACTCAACATACACAAAGTTGTAGGTGATTAAGAAGAATCAATACTCAAGTAAGACCCATATTGTGCCATTGTATCAGTACCATATTCCAATGGCCATTGACGGACTGCTATGTTCAATCATGGTTAAACAATCACATCACAATAGCTTCTGAAGCTCACAGAAAAATGCTTCTTTCAACCTGTTGATATTAGGACAGAAGGAGCTATACACATATTTCTTTGTACAATACAAACTGACTAAACCTTGGCTTAAAAAAACTTCTTGGCATTATTCCTAAACTTTTGGGGGTTGGATGCACTTTTTGTGAGTTGTCTTGGATACAGGTTTCAATTAAATTAATGTTATGTAGTGTACTTTATACATTTCAGTATGTATATCAGTAAGCAATTGCCAATGGCTCCCTTTCCATAAGACTGTTATTTGACTGTGCTACAAAACAGGCCTATGGGCAATGTTAATTAGATTAGGAAATCTACCACCACCAAACGTGCTGTAACATTTGTATATATTCATACTAGAAGTGAGCTGACAGTGGTAGTTTCTCTCAACAGCAACGGAAGCTTCTGCAAAAGCTTTAAGTCAATGGTGGTGAATATTCAGTCTTAAAAATAATTTGAACATGTAATAAACACCTCAAACACTGCATAAGTTCTCAGATAGACATCAATATCATGTCAGTATAAGTGGATTGTTGAAGTCAGCATATTTCCAGGCAGGGGATCAGTCAGTCTGATTCCTCACTGATTCCATAAAAAGAAAGCTGGCAGCTCTGTCTTTGTAAGACATTCATTTGTTGACAACACAAAGTAACAGAATCAAATCTAACTCTGTGAAACTTCAACTGACCGCAGGACTGTGTTGTGCAGCAGCCTTCTGTTTTGTTGACCAGCTGCTGACCCGGCCCGCTGCAGACAGGGCTCTGCACTGTGGGGCAGGTGGCAGGCTCACACTGGATGCTCATGGAATCCTTGTCACACTCACATATGTTGCAGCCACTTATCCATGTATCACCAGGCTGTTTACGATAGGACACAGTTGAGACACTCAGCTCATGCTTTGCTAGTGTACCTGATTATATGACATATATATATATACTGTATATGTGACATATTATCTATATACAGATTTAAATATCATCTATAAACACATTTACATATATTACCTCTTTGGGTCCACCATCAGGTCCAACACAATCTGAAATTCCAAAAGGAACAAGTCACATGAAGGTGTGCTTCAGGTTTTAAGAAACAAATATTGTATGACGCAGTCAGAAATAGGATATAGGATCTGCTCTTACCACAGGAGGCAACACATGTATCATAGACAGTGTTGAATAAGACGGTGCCAGTTGGACAGAAGCAGCCCTCTTTGGTGTTGTTAGTGGATGCTTTACTACCTGTCTCGAACTTCTTGTTGTATCTGATTTCAGAAATTGAATAACTGGTTAATACAGTGATGAAAGGACTCTAAACTGTGTACACAATTATTAGGCAAATTTGTATTTTGACCATATCATAATTTGAATGCATATTTTCCATTCCAATCTGTATAAAGCATATGAAAGAGGGTGTAAGGAGATCCAACACCCTATATCAGGGGTATTCATCTTAAATTCAACAACTGTGTCACATTTTGACTTAGATTATATCAGTCTCAACACATCTTAACAATTGAACAGTGAGACAGTTTCTCTGTCCCTTTTATATCCCACCCCCCACTTGCTTTTGTTCAGTGAGAGAACTGAGCTCTAGTTTGTCCTGCCAGGAACTAAAATCTGCTTATTGACCTCAGTTCAGACTCGAGTGGGTATATTGGCACTTTTAATGAGCGCCACGTCTCTGAGCGTATGAGACACACTGGTTCTGTGCTCCCAGTGGCAGGATGAACATGGATGAGTCTGTCCATTCTTGGTAAAAGCTCTGTTTTCACTGTCCACTTTTCTCTTCTTAGAGAGCACCATGGATACTTATTCTTCTCCCCCTGTCTGCCGCACGCTTGTCTCTTCTTCTGTGTTTATCTCCCTGTATCTTTCACTCTCTTTCGCACCCGCTCAGCGCCGGTTAGAATAGAAGCACCCCATCAGAACTGAAAATCCCGTAAGCATTTATTGATTATTGGTCCGGGTCTGTATAGGTCGGCGTCTGGGTCCAGGTCCGCGGTCTGCCATTTGGTGATGGAACCCATTACTCTGCACTGCTGTCATATTCTAAAACTGTGACCTACCTGAAGGGCCCAGAAGTCTCAGGTGTTCAGAGACATGGCCAAGGTAAGGAAGGCTGAAACCACCACTGAACAAGACACATGAGTTCAAACATCAAGACTGGGCCCAGAAATATCTGAAGACAGATTTTTTAAGTTTTCTGGACTGATGAGATGAGGGTGACTCTTGACGGACCAGATGGATGGGCCCGCGGCTGGATCAGTACCAGGCCCAGAGCTCCACTTCAACACCAAAAAGGTGGAGACTGGGTTGTGGTATGG